TGGTACAACTCGAGGAGAAAGGAAAAAGGCAACAGTGAATGACTGAATTGGACAAACTGGCCATTCTGTCCCTGTGCTGAGACATGCTCTGTGTCTGTTTTTCAGGTGAGGACATCTTCTACACCACGATTAATTGGAATGTGGCATGCCTTTTTCTGATAATTAGTTATTAAGGTGCAGGTCCTCTAATAATTTAAAACTATGCTGTGCTGTAAATGCAAGTGTATCTTTTCAACCAGTGGGATTTTCAGGCAAATACTTAAGAGTTGATATTTCGGCGTAGGTCATACAATCATTCCTGTGTTTTGTTATTTGTGTAAGTCAAGTAGTTAATGTGATATTGAGCTGTACTTGACAGTTCAGAAAGTAGAAATGGATTATCGGCACATAAGATTGCAGGTGCTTGAGGAGCATGTGTTTAGGAGCATGAGGAAAGGGTCTCCAGATGTGTGACCCTGTGAGGATTTATGCCTTAGGTATATGATACTGAACATCAAGAAACCTGAATGTACGAAATAAATATTCTTTCCCCTCTTTAATCATCAGCTTAGATGTTAGTGAACAGTGTGTGTCTCTGACTTATCTCTTTTATAGAAAATTAAGCTTAAATGTTTAGCAGCAAGTGTGACAGTGAAAAATGTGTCATTTGTTTTCATTCAAAGGTTGAATGTTGGGTATAAGTGAAAATCTGTTAATGTTCTATTCCTGGAAATAAATTGTGCTGAACTTCATGGCATCATTCTTTAAATAATTAATTGTAAGCAGAAGACATTAGAGATTGCTTGGGAAGGCTTGTTGCTGTAATAAAAATAATTCAGTATTTCTTTTCAGAGTTTCTAAAGGAATAAAATACTACATTTTACTTAAGCATAAATTGAGCTAATGCATGAAGACTGTTGAACAGCTAAAGGATATTTTCATAGTCAATTTTCTTTGGAAGTATGCTTTTTGGGGAAAAATTTTCCAGTTCTTGCCCTCTATGGATTTTATCTTGGAAGACTGGTGTAGTTAGATGAGCTTTTCTGAGGAAATGGTGTTGGCAGGGGACACTACTTTTACAACTGCAGACCACATTTGTCTGTTCCCTGTTCATCATGCTGTGCTCCTAATGCACTGGTCCAAGCATTTAAGAAGACTGGCAGTGAACCAGATAGCTGAAGAACAAGTGCCTTCCTTCCACCTTTTCTGTGATATCTAAGCAATCCTGGACTAAAGTTCTAGGACTGCCAGCAACAGGAAGGACTGGATTGACAAACATTTATATTTGCCATATTTTCCACAAGGGAACAAAAGGTCTTTCTAGATAAAGGGATTTTTTTTTTAACTTAAAAAAAAAAAAAATAAGACAGATGGGCATATGTAGGTTTTGGGGCTGGGCTTTTTTTGGTATACATAATATGGCTTTTTAAAGGGGGGGTCAGGTTTAGCAATGATTTGGTTTTCCCCATTAAATGCTCTGAGCAGAGTTGTCTCTTGGTTACAATTTAAGAAAAAAAAGTCCTATTAAAATGTAAGTTCAAAGATTATTATATGAAAAAAATCATCTGGCCAGCAATGCATGAGAAGGAATAAAATACTATGTTATGATTAGCTGTCTACTTTGTACATAGTAATGCATTTGTAAGAACGTACTCCATGGTTGACTTCTAAATAACTTTGAATTGTTTTCCTGTAGTACTGTATTTTTATAATATACTAAGGAGCAGAAGTTTGTCTAGTAAAACCAAACTTTTCATGGGTTTTAAATCGGTTGTTTTATTTATTTTGTCTTAAATTGTATTATGATCAATGAAAGCTCATACTTCTCATTATTTTGCATTATTTGGTCATCAGGAAGAAAAGAGGAGAAATTAACGCAATACCCACTGTAACAAAAAATATGATCACTTTGGACTATAGTAGAGGGTACATTTCCGTGTAGAATTAATTCGTAATAACACCTGGAAATTTTTTGATGTTTCCTGTTGACAGTGTAGACTAAAGTTCTCTGTTTGCATCCCACTGTATATGTGAGGTGTGGCTTGTCTCTAGAAAAACATTTTACTGTTTCCTAGTATATCTTTCTTCTTCCTGTGTCAAGCAGTTCTTATCTGCTCACAGATAGAAAGGGTAGGTCAGGCCCATTGGTCTGTGTGTTCCAAATCATGAACAGGTTATGCACCAGCAATTCCTTGTTGGCACTGTAGTTGTGTGGTTCATTAAATAGGTGTGCAGCACTGGTGAAGTCTTGCGATGTCTCTGGAGGCTCAGGTGTTTTACGCTAGTGTGTACAGACAGCACCAGTGCTCACAGGCAGCAGCACCCTGGGAACAAGACACTTCACCTGAGCTAGGCTGAATAGAGTGCTCTGACCCAGGGACCCACATGTTAAGTCTAAAATGAAGGTTTACCAGAGACATAAGGTTGATGTTTGTGTAAGATGTGTAGTGATGTTTTTTCTCATAGGTATCACTTCCTGTTTCCATGTAATATTAGAGAGAATGAACCACACACATTTTGAGATTTTTTTTTTTCTGTGCTGCAAAATGTATTTGGCACTTAGTATTAAGATGAATTACACATTTTTAATTAGAAAAGCATTCTGTCATGACTAAATTGCTGGCAGGAGCAGATGACCAAGTACAGCTGACTGTGCAAGAGTTGGCCAGGTCTCCAAGCCGTAACATCTCATTTGCAGTAAAAAAAAATTCTCAGCCAAATAGTAAAACTTCTATATTTTGTCCACAAACACTGTTGAGCATTGGTTGGTTGTATTCCATGTAATTCAAGACACCAGCGTTAATGCAGCAGCAGACTTGCTTAACCTTACCACATAGAATATAACTGAACACTCCAATAGTCAATTAGTGGCATAAAAAAAGGTTATTACTGTTGTTGTTTGTTACTAACTTACTCTGTTGTAGTTCTTCAGATCAAGGCACGTAGTATTTCAGTAGCTTCCTGTTAACGATTAATTATATTACTGTTTTGTATAAAGAGTATTAAGGCCTTTAGCTGGCAATCTTGGTATTCTTGGAGAGAGCATGGTTCTGTCTGTAACTGCACTGAAAGAGTTACTGGTTTTTTTTTTTTTTTTTTAAAGCATTTACAAGCATACTTAGGAAATGGCTCATTCTCTGATTTAAACTTGTTTTTATCTGCCCACCTCCAAATTCTGCAACATTACTGCGCTTCAATTTTCAGAAACTCGCTTGAGAAAGAAGTATTTATTTTAGTTAGAACTTTAAATACATTACTTTGTTCCAATGTATTTAAGTTTCTGCTTTCACTTCATTGAAATGCTGTTAGGTTGCTTTTGCATCAGTTAGTACAGACTTTTTTTTTTTTTCTTATGTTCCTATGCAAATACAGTGCATCAAATTCTCAAAGATAAAATCTGATATAACTATTCCCACTACTTCAAAAATACCAAGATTTGATAGAGCTAGAATTCAGGCTGCTGAAGTACATGTTATGACACAACATTAAGTTGCATGCCTTTTATTTTCTTTTTACGTTTTCCATAAGACACTCATATTCTTAATTTAGGGAATGAATGGTGCTTATTGAATTTGTAGATGTTCAGTGCTTTTTGTATGGACTAGGTGGATGATGAGAATTTAAAGATACCTTCTGAATCTGGCATTGCATATAGGCCTATTTTTTCCTTGGAATTTTCAGTGAACGTCCCATTGCCAAAATATAATACACTTGAAAATACTAGATGATTTATACTTTCCGCAGATTATGCTGTATAAGCTGAGGCTTGAATGCTGCCTGAAGTTAAGAAGACATTACAGCACTTTGTGCACAAAGACAGGAGTCAAGGGCTGGTTTGAGCATGGGGTTTGACCTAGTGTTCTGCAAATACTTATAATAACCTGATCATAAGTGTGATTTTTTTTTTTTATAATACCTTTTTAACTATGTTGTCTAGCATCTCCATCTGAAACTAAGGCCTCTTCATGCAAGATACTGTGTGTGTGTGTGTGTGTGTGTTTTATTAAAAAAAAAAAAAAAAAAAAAAAAGGTCAGTTTTCAAATTGTTTCTGTTATAACAAAGGAGTTGAGCACTGGGCACTGTTTAAACAACAGGGAAAATAGCCTTTGGGATCCAATAGCTGAGACTGTATCTTGGTGACAGGAGGGAGGTGAAAGTTTTGTGGTCAGAAGTTACTGTTGACATCACCAAAGACAATGAGAATATAAAAGATTGAAATTTTGGATGAAGGGCAAATGATAGTTGTGATACTGCTACTGGAATTGCATGTGGTTTTGCCATAATTTTTTTCCAAAGTATTGGGGGAGTTTTTTGAGTCTCTGAATCATGAAGCTCTTTTGCAGTAGGAAAAAGCTATTTTTCTGAGGGAGGAAGAAAGCCAAAAGTCTACCTGCTGCCTGCCTACTCTTCTGTTCATCTGACTTAGCTGGAAAGTTGGTGAGCTTATGTAGTGAGGGACCCCAGACCTTAGGAGATCCACATACACAGGGTGCCTACTAGATGAGCTCTCAAAACTGAAACTGTATCTGGGCAACTATAAGGCCTACAAATCTGAGCAACCAATGCTGGCATTTTAGGTGTTTCTAAAATGAAATATTTAAGAATAGTTAACATTTGTAAAAGAGGAATTTGAGATTTGGATTTTGTTCCAATTTTATTTCATGTTGTAATGTATACTCTGTGTGTGTGTTATTCTCTTTGAACCTCTGTTCAAACTTCTTTTTAGTCTCTGCTTTTAATTATTTTAAATAAGTAGTTTTATTTTTTCAGATGTGTTGAATGTACTTTTTTTCCCAGTAGTATTTACAGCAAAAACACACATATAAAGGCAAAACCTTCATCAGCAAAATTATAGGTTAATGTTTATGTAGTCACATTAGTAAGAACATTTGGTGTCTTGTTTGTATGCCAGATTTGCCGAAGTAACTTTCAGAGTGCCTAGGTGATTTTTCTTAAATAAGTCAAGATAAGCCAAATGCCTTTTCAGTAATACAGTATAATTTATTGTTTGTAGGTAATATATGCTTTGAACACTAAAAATGATGAACATGAAGCTGCTATCCAAGCCCTTAAGGATGCTCATGAAGAAGAAATTCAACAAATTCTTGCAGAGACCAGAGAGAAGATCTTGCAGTATAAAAGCAAAGTTGCAGAAGAAATGGATCTCAAGAGAAAGATCCAAGTTTTAGAAGAGTCACTGGAAGATCATAAAAAGATGAAACATCAGGCTTTGACAGAATTTGAAGCCTATAAGGACAGAGTTGAAGATATGCAGCTTTGTGCAGAAGCTCAGCATGTCCAACGTGTAGTGACTATGTCAAGAGAAGTAGAAGAGATAAGAAAGAAATTTGAGGAAAGGCTACGAAGTTTCATACAGTTGCAAGTGCAATATGAGAAGGACAAACGTACAGCTCTGGAAGACTTGAGAGCTGCTCACAGGCTTGAGATTCAAGAACTTCTGAAGACTCAACAGAGTCAGAATGCTACTTTAAGTAAGGGGCAAGAAAAGCTAGAGGAATTGCATAGAATGGAGCTGGAAGACTTGAACAATAAAGTTGAAGAGTTAAGGCTGGAAAGAAAAAAACTTATTGAGGACTATGAAGGCAAACTCAGCAAAGCACAGTCCTTCTATGAACATGAACTTGATTCTTTGAAAAGATCTCAGCTTTTTACAGCAGAAAGTCTGCATGCTTGCAAAGAAAAAGAAGTGGAGCTAAGAAAAGAATTCCAAAACCAGGAAAGTATTTTACGGAAGAATTTAGGAAAGCTTAAAACTGAATTGCAAATGGTCCAGGATGAAGCTGCCAGTCTACGGGAAAAATGCCAAAAACTTCAAGTGGCTCTTGGTACAGCAGAAAACAATGTTCAGGTGAGACCTGTGGTATGTTGTTCCCAAGACTGTAAATTTTCTTTCCCTGTTTAGGCTGTCATTCTGTCACGTTGGTAGGTTGAGGTGATGGGAACACCTAAGCTTAATTTTCTGTGGAGTTGTACTTGATTATCATCAACTTCTCATTTTTATTTGTTTATTTATATTTTTTAATTTATGTGTTTAATTCTCCCAGGCTGATTTAATGCTACTTTCTATTCCAGTAGAATCCAGAAGGCCCTGTACAGGGGAAAGTTTTGGTCTTCCTTTCAGCTGTTCATGAACACAGCTTGATTGTCCTAGCTGTATTACCTAAAGTGTAGTGTACTCAATAGAATACTCAAAGCAGTTGCCACTTAAAGAACAGACAAAAAATCCAAACCAAACCCTGTTCCCATCTCCAAAGCCAGGGTGGGCCTGGGGGGGAAGCAAAGCAATATCTTTGCATCAGGTCTCCACATAAAGTCATCCCTCTGTTTAAAAAAAAAAAAAAACAAAAAACAAAAAACAAAAAAACATAAACAAAAAAAAAAACCACCACCAGAGAGGGGTGTAAAGAAGATGTTGCTGACTGGTACCATTTGAGATGTTAAGCTGATAAATTGGAATGCATGCTAAAAAAGTTGTGAAAACCCTTATGTAGATGGTACAGTTTCTTGCAGAAATTTGTTTGTCAGGGATGTCATACAACTGACACTACAAATACAACGAATATTGTGTATTCAGTGTAGTCTAACTTCTGAAGGTCATTAGTGACTATCTTGCCTAAAGATGTTGAGTGTTAAGAAAAGTAGTTTTGTCGGAGGCAAGAAAAAAATACAATTTTGTGAATGTCTTTAACTTTTTTATTATAACATACTCAAAGTTTTCACAAGAAGTAACTGAAATACTGCATAGATTTTCAGTGTGTACTGGTTTTGGCTGAAATAGAGTTAATTTCCTTCACAGTAGCTGCTATGAGGCTATGTTTTGGATTTGTGATGAAAACAGTGTTGATAACACAGGGATGTTTTAGTTATTGCTGAGCAGTGCTTACACAGAGTCAAGGCCTGTTCTGCTTCTCAGGCAGCCGTACTAGTGAGTAGGCTGGGGTTGCACAAGAGCTTGGGAGGGGACAGGGCTGGGACAGCTGACCAAAGGGATATTCTATACCATGTGTCATCATGCTCAGCAATAAAAGCTGGAGGAAGAAAGAGGAAGGGGGGATGTTCAGAGTTATGGCATTTGTCTTCCCAAGTAACAGTTATGTGTGATGGAGCCCTGCTTTCCTGGAGATGGCTGAACATCTGCCTGACAATGGGATGTAGTCAGTGAATTCCTGATTTTGCTTTGCTTGTGTGTGCGGCTTTTGCTTCACATATTAAACTGTCTTTATCTCAACCCACGAGTTTTCTCACTGTTACTCTTCTGATTCTCTCCACCATCCCACCAGGGCAGAGTGAGCAAGTGGCCGTGCGGTACTTACTGCCTACCAGGGTTAAACCACAACACAGTACTATTTAGATACTAAAGTTTCTTGTCCTTAAAGAAGGACAAGACATCCCAGAAATACAAAGACTTAAATTTTTCGGTCAGAAAAAAATGGGACTGAGTATGCTGGGCTTGAAGGAAAATATTCTGTGAAATTCTGCTTGGGTTTTGGTAGCTGTGCTGAGGCCTGAAGAACAGTAATCTCTATGGGCAAGCTTAAGCATCTCGTCATTGGAATTTGTTTTCACTCTCAAATTCCAAAGCCAGAAGTACCTTAAATGTGATAGTCATAGTAATTTTGGAAGCATCTTTGTGTAGAGCTGAGATGGGTCATAAGCTTTTCCCATTTGCAAGCTAATTCCAACCCATCTTTTGGACTATCCTGCCTTGTGTAAAGGCTACAGGATATAGAGAAAGAAGACTGCTACCTTTATCAGATGTTGAATTCAGAATACCTTTTTCCCATTTCCCAAAGAGCCTTCCAAAAGTTTATTTCCAACTCAGTTCAGTTAATGAAGCAGAACTCTTGCTTCTCAATTGACTACATTAAGGAGGTGGGTTGCTGGCAAGCTGCAGTGAAGAGGAAACCCACTGTATGTTGATCATTCCTGCAGTACAAGAATTCCTCTTGGTTCCAAAGAAGAGGAAGAGTCTAGTACAGTATTAGCTGCAGACTGTGAAGTCAGGTCCTACTCTGATCATCGTGGACAAGGTGGTCAAAGGCATAGTCTCACCACTTCTGCTCTCCGTGTTCCATTACATGTCCTGTCCAGTGTTTTCCCAGTTCTGTTTCCTGCATTAGTTTCTAAAATGGCCCTTTACTATTCTAGTGACTTGAATGATGAGAAATCCAGCTTTCCTTTCAGAACAGAACAAGATTCCCTTTTCCTTCCTGCATGGCTCGGAGCACACCATGATCACACTACCCCAGAGCTGCTCATTTGAATTGGTACATTAGATGTAAAACATATTGAAAGTTTTGATTTAACTAATTGCTGAGCTCTCATTTTATGTATATCCATGTCCAGCTTAATTTGTGTCAGTACTAAACACTCGCAATTGCAATTAGGGACATTGGAAACTTCTGTGAACATATATTCTTCAATTTGAAGAACTCTGAGATAGCAGTAACCAGGTTTCTCAGATTGACCCCCAAACTCTGTGGACCAGGTTACTGTTCTTATTTTTCATACACCTTTTGAATATTGTCACATTTCTCTTATGTATCCTTGTCATGCTATATATATCCAGTAGCTTGTAGTGCTTCAACAACCTTTTTGAAAAAACATAACACAAAATGAATTTGATGGTAATATTACAAGATTTCAGCATGTGTATGAATGAAACTTGTTTGCTGAAAGGCCTTTTCTGTACAATTTAACCTAATGCTCATTTAAATTTAAAGATGATAGTATATAATGATAACAGGCATTATAATGTGCTTCCTCTAGGTTCTTCAAAAACAGCTAGAAGATGTGAAGGAGGAGGAGATGTCATTGTTAAGCAAACACAAAGAAGTGGAAAGCGAGCTAGCAGCTGCTAGAGAGCGCTTACAGCAGCAGGCCACTGATCTTGTTCTCAAAGCCAGTATGTATGTCAGTAACTTAATCTGGAAATTAACTTTATTTATTATAGCATTTTATTTTTCTGTTAACCTTGTGCAGATTTAGAGTGCCTAAAGACGGTTCAATGCTGTCTGTAGAAGTTTCTGACAAGCTTTGACTTCAATGTTCTGCTTTCTGTTGTGTAGCTTATTGTGGGGTGAAAATGTGTGGGTTTAGGTGGGGTCAGTTCTTCAAGATAGTCTGTGTTCATACTGTTGCCTACTTCTACTTTCTCTTGGAGTCAATATGCAACTTTGAACCAGGAAAACTGAAACTAAAGGAGCCCCAGCACCAAGTGCTCTACTGTTGTTGGGCATTTTACAATAAAACTAAAAAAAGGAGAAGTGGAGGGAAAGGTAAGCATTGTAGTTAAGATAATGGAGATCCATAGGAAAGCTTCCACTAGAGTTGTACTTCTGTAAATCACTAGAGTGTGAATGTGTACTTCAATTACATGAAACCGATGTTGCGAAGTTTTAAAGAGCTGTTTTGTTTTTAGGTCACATTGGAATGCTTCAAGCTACTCAAATGACTCAAGAAGTTACAATCAGAGATTTGGAATCAGAAAAGTCTAGATTAAAAGAAAAACTATCCCAACTGGAAGAGGAAAGAAACCAATTGCAAAGCAAAACACAAAGTCTGGATGAGCGACAAAGACAGCAAATTCTGGCCTTGGAGAAGGTTAAACAGCTCATTTGCTTTAGCTGAATAAAAACAAAAGACTTAAAATTCTCAGAAAAAAAGCTTGATTATGTTTTTTGTTTGATATGACTAGACTAGGACCAGTAGTAGTATGTTCAAAGTATATTTCATGTAGCAACATACAATGACTAATGTAGAGTGTAAAGTGAGAGCAGGGGAAAGTCAGATTAGATGATGTTCAGACTTGTTTGGACATCTTTTAACAATTTCATTTAATTCATTACCTCGTGTATTTTAAGTGTCTCAGTAAGGAGAAAGGTGAAATGGTTAAAGAACAGTTTTAAAAGCCATTTTCTGAAAATGTGCTGAACGTGTTTGAAAATACTGAACTGAAATTTTCTATAGGCTTGACACCAGATTGCTGTTGCCTCAGATTAAATAGAGAAAAAATATACTTTAATATGGCTATATTGCTTTGCATGGATATGTTGAAATTACCTTCTTGGTTATTTAATTATTTAGTCAGTGCTTAGTGTTTGCTCAGTTTGTGTTGTATGGAAGTTATTTTTTGTAGATTTAGGTCACCAGTAATGTTTTTGTATTTTTTCCTTCTGTTCACATTTTACCATTTAATAGAAATAATTTTATTTTTCTCTGTCTCTTGTAGAAAGTCAATGAAGCAAGAGAGACACAACGTGAATATTATGAGAAGGAGCTGGTGAAATTGCAAGCGAGATTGGAAGGAGAGGCTGCACAGTTAAAGGAGGCTCATTCGAAGACCTTAGAAGAATTGGCATGGAAACACCATACTGCAATTGAGGCCGCACACAGTAGCGCTAATAAGGATAAGAAAAAACTGCAGATGGTAGGTTTGTGTTTTTTTTTAATAATCAAACATATTACAAAAAGAAAATGTTAGAGCTTGAACCTTATACTGCATGGTTTTGTTGTATGGCAAGTTTTCTTTGGAGTTACCTGCAGATCTGCTGTATCTCTTTGTAGAAACTGCTCAACCTTTATTAAAACGGCATATATCTTGCCCAAAAAAAAGAGCATTTGTACTGTCACTTGTCTGCATACAGAAGAGAAATTGCAAACTCAATACAACTTTCTCTTTGAGTATGGTAGGTGCGTTTTTCCAGGTTTTGTGACCCATATTCAAAAAGGTTGGTATATCACTCAAGATTATTTCTGAAGGCAAGGAAAGATTATGTTGGTCTAATATTTATTTAAAATTTTCATAAACAGTCTAGACATACAAAAAGATAATAATACTTGACTATATGTATACTCAGAAGACAACAGCTGTTCCTAACTTATATAATAAAATTATGCTAACTGTATATCAACTATTGTTTACCTTTGACTTTGAAACACAGTTGTAGTTAGTGATGTGCATATTAGACTGTTTTTGTTTTTTTTTAGGGGGGGGTTAAATTATTTTACTAGTGTGTTGCTTCTTAGTTTTATTTTTAATAAATCCAAATTTTTTTTTTAATATTTCCCAGTAATGGAAGTGGCTCCCTGAGACATACGTGCAGCTGATCTTTCAGGTTTACTTTCTCTGTAGCTTTAAACATGCCTGTTATTAAAACAGTGTCCCTTAGGAGTTTCTTGGAATATTTTACTTCAGTAAGATGTGGGGTTCTTTTTGTTTTGTTTCCTTTTGTTTGTTATTAAAATAATGTAGAGAATAAAAGAAAGGATATCATAAAATGTTTGTTCTTAAATAATTAAATTAGTTAAAATAAGCAACATTTCTATAAATGTGAGAAATGTGAAACGTTATTTTAGCAAGGGAAAATTAACTATGAAAGGATCTCAGTAAATCTTAATCAGTCTGCTGTCTCCTCTGTCAAACTTGTGTTGCTAAGTATGTGTGTTTGAGTAGTTCAAGGAAGAAACAGTCAGTTTCAAATGCAGAGAAGAGTTTAATTTAGTATGAGGAAGAAGTATGGTACAGGGAGCCTTGGGATAGTGGACATGAGGATTCGTTGGGACTGGAAGAAGGGTAAAGGCATCTGGGGTTTGGAAATCTTTGGTACAGAAGAGAATTCTAAAGAATTAGAATAGGACTCAAGAAACGGCTTAAATATATCTTTTTACTTTAATTCTTCCATCTATAAAAGGAGCTGTAAAAATGGCATCAGTTCATAGGAGGATTATGAAAATAGAGCTGCTAATAATTCTGCAGTACTACACGGCTGTACTGACAAGTGTCATAAAAGAACTAATTACTCAATTACCAGAATAGGGTCTGAATAGCACTAGTGAAATTTTGCAGACAGTAGTGTAAACAAGAAAAAATTGAGCAACTCTCATTTAGCAAGCATGATTTGTCCTACATGGTGATTGATCTGGGCCCGGTGAAGAAAACATGCACTTGTTGAATTACGTTGTATAACAATGTCTTACTGAAAGTGCAGCCCTCTGTTTTGTCACTCTGTCCAGCTTCTACCATGAACAAAGATTGTGCAAGCAGTTTATACACAAGTTATTCATTGCCTATTGTACACCATTATGGAGTGCTAGAACTAAAGAGCTACTAAGCTTAATATGCTTACCATGCCCAGCAAAACACTTGAGGAGTCTGGTTTTGGATGAGGAAGGGTTGGCCTCTGTTGCTTATGGGAATGAGCTGGATGACACTAAGTTGTGGTCTTCCAGTTCTCCGGCTTTCCTTAGAGTTATATACCTTTTCATGGTAGTCTTTTTCCTCTTGAATTCTTTCGCACTTAACTCTCCTTGTCCCCGCAGTCTTACCAATGACTGCAGTTGTACTTTTTGTTTCTTGCATGGCTCTGGTCTATGAATGTTTATGGCTGTTTCTGAGATATTGATTTCTCAGAAATCTGAACCCAGGGCTATGCAGAGGCACCGGATCAATGCTAAGCCTTGCATTACAGCTGAACCCCTAGGAGGGTGTTCATAAAGGAGCCTCTGTTACAGAAATTGTTCTTCTGAAAATATGTTCTGAATGTTAATAAAACTGAAGCATAAATTTATATTTTCCTTAAAAAAAGTTTCAAACAAATGCATTTACAACATATGGCTTATGTAAGAGAAATATAATTCATCCAACAGAGTTGTTTTCTGAATTTGGCTATTACTCTACAGAGATTGAATTAAAAGAGGTGTTATTTGATTCTTTCCATATAGTTGAACTTGAAGAGTAATTGTTGATTTCTTTTTGTTCTACATAAGTTTTATAGATACAGTGGGAGGCCTTTTTCCATTTATTGTAACAGCCTGAAAAAAACTTCCCAAAGCTCCATCTGGATTTTAAGCTTTACTATTTTCTGTGGGCATTATGTGTAGGAGGTAGATGGGTAAAGGCTGAAGGATAAGCATATTTATCAGCATAATTTTGTGAACAGTGAAAACTTCTGCATTCTGTCAGCTCAAATTGATAAATCGTGAAAGTAGATATAGTTTTAATGATTTTGATAAGTAAGTACAAACTGAAACTAGTAATTGAGAAGAAAGTCCTGTTTGTCTTTATTTTGTGATTAATCAATCATGTTAGATTAAAAAAGGAACGGAAAAAATAAGGCGTCCATTGTAAAAGGAAATAAATGTTCATGTTTTAACACTTTAAAGAAAGGACAATTCTTGGTTGACATCAGGAATATTTATGCCAAGAGAAATCATTTTGGTGTGGTGCACCTGTACTTTGCAATGACCATATGGCAAGTGTTTACTGTTTCTTCTATCCTTCTTGTTTCTGAAGGAGCTGGAGCAGAAGTTTGAGAAGGAGAAACTGCATTTGGAGGATGATAAGAATCAGCTCCGACAGCAGTTGGAAAACCTGAAGGAAGAGCTGACAACAAAACTGACTTCTGCCAATCAGGAGGCAAGGGTTAACTTAATATATTGGCTAATGGTCCTGTGCACTAGACCCCATTTCATCAATAATCATCTTGTGCTTGGAGTTCAGTACAGAACTAGGATTGCAGTCTTCAGTCTGTTTAGTGCCTTATTTCTGTTTAAAGTGGAGTATTCTTCAAACAGAAGTTACTTGACCACTTCTGAGCACTGATTTTTATTGTCCTTTACTAAACTAACCAGGCAAAAGAGATTGAGGTACAAAACAGTTGACATAAACAGCCTTTCTTGTTTTTACTCTGCTTATTTTCTCATTAGGTACACAGATCTCTACATAAAATAAGTCAGGAGACAGAAGGAAAATTAACTGTATTTAAACCCATATTCATTTACAATTAACATATTTTAAATTCTGGTCAGCTTCCTGACTTGCAGTCGATGTTCATATATTTCCATCAAAAGATGACATGAAATATTTATAGTAAGACCTAAATTATTTGTAATATTTTGATATATGCAATCAACATTAAATGTATCATATCTCAATATACTTTTAATTTTTTATAAGTATGAAATCGACACCTTTTAATAATATGATATTTTTTTAACTAGAAACGTATTTTTACTCATGTTGAAAACATCACTTCATTCTTGTCTGGAACTTTTGCCTTGTTTCAAGACAATAATTCATCAGCTTCATTGTTTAACAGGCCAGACATGATTTCAGTGTGTGCTTCAAGGCATGAATTTAGGCACCTTTTTGCAGTGGTACTTTTCATTACCATTTTGTAGACTGTACAAGTTCTGGAGATAGCAGGTGTTTGTCTAATTCTGGTGGCTTACAACTTGCACAAATGCTAAACTTGCTTTAGAACAAAACTGCTTGTTTTTCATAAATGGTAAAGATTGCCTTTCTGAAAGTATATATTAAATTATTGTTAGTAGTATTATTATAATAAAGCCTATATTCTATATTAATGTATATTGTTATAGTTAATATATCAGTACTTTGGTAATTAATATGCGTTGATAAATTATTATATATTAAAGCATATATTTTGAAATTATATATTTATATATTCCATTTATTAATATAT